GCGTCCCCGTTGCGCGCGCCGCGCGAGGACGAGGTGGCGTCGGCGGCCGCAGCACTCACCATAGCGGGCCGTCAAGCCCTGCCCAGAGAGCGGGTGAGGATGGCGCGGACTTGGGGCTTGGATTTCACATCAATTTCTTTTGCCCTGTGCCCCCCTTTTCTGGTCCTCCGCTCCTCCGTCTGCTCCCCGTCTTTCCTCGGTTCCCCCTAGCCTGGTCGCTGCAGGTCTCTTTGTCTTCCTTGTCGTCTTTTTCTTCGTCTTGGTCTTCGTCCTCTCCTCCTCCTCGGTCTTTACAAAAGGAACGGAAAGTGTAAAAACCCCGGCGCGCTGGGCCGCCGGAGGCTTTCGGCGGAGTGCAGCGCGGACTCACAATTACAAGCCTGTTTCTATTAAGCAGTTCCATGGCCCTCGGCGTGGGTGGTCTGCCGCGCCATAGGCAGGACCTGTCAGGGTCACGTGACAGATCCGAAAACTTTACCCCTTTACAATAAACTCAAGGAAAGCAAAGTAAACTCGAGGAACGTGCTATCAGCACAGCCCTCCTGGGTAAACAGGCGCTCCCCTCCCCGCCTTCCTGGGAGGCGCCCAACCCCGCGAGCTCCGGCGAGCCCCGGCCGCCCCCTCCCTGCCCCCCGCGGCCGCTGGGCCGGGGGCCGCTGGGCCGGGTGGTCTTTGCACGCTACCTCGCCTTCCCCACCTTATGCTCCCGCACCCCACACACGTTATTTGCTAACATTTAGTCTCTAGCCCGACCCCCAGGGGTGGGGGTGCTGAGGGAGCAGGGAAATTCATTTCAGCATCCTCAGCACTCCGGGAAATGCGGGGTGCCCAGCATGCAGCAAAGGAACACCACCGTTCCTGTCGTCAATTCTCAAAGCCTTTTCCTGCTCGCATTCCCACGGAAGCCCTGAGAAGCTGGGAGCTTTCTGGTTGACAGGCCCACAGGCTGAAGGGGAGGCAGAGAGCCAGGGAAGCCGGGCAGATAACAAGAGCTTCCCCGGGGAAATTTTCAATGCACCAAGATGTATGTGCATTCGTGTCGTTTCTGTCGGAGGTCCCTAGGAAGCCGCTTCTTCTGAAGAGACTAAGGTGGAGTCCCTTGGAAACCAAGATTGGTAGCTGGTTGAGGAGTCACTAATTGATATTTGCTTCCCCCCCCTTCCAATTACCGTGGTTTTGGGGTATGCCACCCAAATTCTCCCACCCACGCTGCCTTCCCAAATGAGGCAAGCTTGGCTGATTGGGTTAGACGCAAGCGCTGTGGGTCCGCACAAACCTGCGCTCAGCCTCTTGCCCTAAATGGAAAGTCCTAGCCAGGAGAGACCCTGTTTAACTTTTTATCTGCTCAAACCTGAAGAGCAGACTGTTTCACACATTGCTGAAAGGTGCTGTTTTAAACGGACTGTATGAATATGAATAAATTACAAATACAGGGGAAGGGGTAAAGTAATGTATTAAACTATCAAGAGTTAACTAGCTGGTCTTCAAGTAAAGCCAGTCTTTTCTCACTTCATTCTGGGCTGACACTGCAATTAGGCATGTGTGTGTGTGTGTGTGTGTGTGTGTGTGTGTGTGTGTGTGTACACATGCATGTTATTTTTCTAAAAAAGCCCTAGGTGTCACAATTTATCTCCCTTGTCCAAAGATGATATACCATCGTTTAATAGGGTCATTTGAATTTCCAGAGTATTTGTGTTTGAGTCACATTAAGTAATTAAACATTGGAATGCTGGGCGGCAGCCCTGTGAATTAGGCTCATCCAGAAAGTCATTTTATACCTATTGACTTTAGTAAAAAAAAAAAAAAAAGTCACAAATGGATAGTAGCTGAGCATGGATCCTAAGAGTCATAATAATTGGAAAAACAAACCCAATAGTATTGATTTGGTAAATACTACATTTGGTGTCATATCAAAGGACTCAAATCATACCCCGCTATAAGTTGGGTGAGGCGAGGAAGAAGATAGTATAAACACATCTCCAATTGGAGTAATCTGGAATAATAAAGGGGTGGGGGTGCGGGATAAGAAATAAGAGAAACGGCTTAGCAAAAGACATTTAAGTGGTTCACAATATAAAGATGCTAGTATCAGGGATAAAAAATTATCCTCTACTGTTTAAAGTTCTTCTGGCTAGATTAATAATCAAATTAACAAGAGACAGATTAGCAGGAGAAAAACAAAGTTTAATAGCCTGTTTACCTCCTGTATACGTGGGAGAGACCCAGGAACACTGACTCCTCAAAACTGCAGAAGCCATCACCTTAAATACCTCCTTCAGCTAAAGACAAAAGATGTTGGGAGAGGACAGTAAGTTATGGGAGGATACCAGGAAAAGCCCGGTAAACAAAGGTAAGGGTGTTATGCAGATTTAAATCCCTGCTTTCTCCATTGACAGTGAAAGCAGTCTAGGTAGAGTGAGGGAAACACCCTTACATATGGAGATTTCTCTTGCAAAAGTAAATGTCCTTCACAAAGAGGAACTTTTACTTGGTTTTCAGAATTTCTCTCAGGGGTTCTGTTTTTAAAACTTAACTAGCCTAAAATAGCCAATATCCCAAAGTGACATATTTTGGGGTAGCAAACTCTCTTCCCCTTCACTAGGTATGGTAGTCTTGTGGGGAAATTGCAGCAGAATTTGTGAAGGTTTTTTTTTTTCCTAATTAAAATGAAGACCTTCATGCAAGCACACTTGGTCCATGTTCTTTGAGTATGGCCAAGGCTGATACTCAGGAATGGACTCAGGTTTGGTGAGGCCGGAGGCTTACGCAGTTTGAGAGGGGAAGTCTTCTTTAGGAACTCAAAATTACAAACACAAAACCCAGTACAGGGCCTTGGAAGAGGGCTGTGCAGTGAGAGTCCCTTAAGGTAATGAACTTCCTGTCAAATCGTCCCCTTTAGAGCGTAGAACCCGAAGACTACAGAGCTACTTAGATTTATGGTCTTTCATCCATAAATTGACTAAATGCCTTCATATCACATCATATTTCAGTCAAAAGTGTTCCAATTGGGAGCAAAGACAAGCTTGGTTTAATGAAAATAGTTTGAGTTGGGCCATCGTAATGTAGGGAATCAGGGAGAGAAAACCTTTGGTGTTGAAACCTAAAAGGTCAGGAGTGAGAGCTGGCTGGAAATACTCTCCCCCAACAGCAACTTGTCCTTTTCTTTCCTCTGAAATCAGTCTTTGAAAATGATTTCAGTGCTGTGCCTCTCTTCCCTCCATTCTTAAATGCTAGAATGTTAAATCGTCAAGTAGGAGACAGATCTTCTCCAGGGCCCAGAACCTTACATGTTATTACCTTCTGTTATTTCTCTGAGACTCCCCACCAGGGTGGGCTCTTTCTCATCAAACAGCTGCCTCCATCCTTCTGAAGTTGCTTATGCCTCATCCCTTCCTGCAAAACCAGCCTTAATACTGCCTAGTCTGATAACCTATTTGGCATGAAGGTGTCAATGACTGAAAAGGCTTCCGGACAACAGAGCTCAGCTCCAGCCTGCCCAATCTGATAAGCTAATTGGCATCAAGGTGTTAATGGCTGAAAAGGCTACTAGAGATACTTTTGCTAGTTAAGTTGGACTTTTAGAGCCATACCCTGAGGAATAATTCCAAAGTTGGAGATTTCAGGGCACTAAGGCAGGACCAGCTGGAGACATTTGGGGCACTGGTGGAGGGGACAACCTTTTGAAATGGGTCTGAAAATAGACCACATGAGCACAATCAAATCTATTGATGGGCAAGGTCATCTCTGGCTCTGTTTGTCTTTGCGGATATCTGTTGCTACTTGAGAGACAGTTGTCACCCCTATTATGCACGCGCGTGCGTGCGCGCGCACACATACACGCACACATTGTTCGGTTATTCATTCTAGGATCCCCTTTTCCCTGGCTCCCACTAAAAGTGGGTGCTTAAGCACTTTAATTCATCAGCTCCCCCATAGCAACCTCAGCAACTGGGATCTTTCAAATGAATAATTGAAGGTTCAGAAGAAATATCTGTCCACATTTAAAAAGGTTTCTACCTCAGGATGAATGCCACTCTTGTGTGAGGTCTGTCATCTGAGGTGTGGCCATTTTTTGATACTGAAATCAGACAGATCGATCTTTCATACAAAGTAATATTGCTCAGTGTAGGGACTGCAATTCTAAAGTGACTAGCCAACTCCCACCCACTGCCTCTTTCCTGTCAGGAAGATACCCATAAGCCAAACCAACTTGTAGAATTAAGGCTTGGAGGACGGGAAGGGTAAGAAATATTTAAAGGTGGTAAGTCGAAATTAGGAGAGTGAACGAACAATTGAATTACAATAGTAAGATGAACTGAAACAGTAAAAAGAGAATTGTTTGAACAACAAGAAGTAAAACAGAATTGTAGGACAGAAGAACCTGAATAAACAGCTTGGGAACCAAAAGGGTGGAGTAAAACATGGAACATCATAAACCCAAGGCTCCAAGGGACGGTGTTACCAAGCAGGGAGGCCCACAGAGGCAGCATAGTTAGTAGTCAAAGATGGAATGGCACTCTCAAGATAAGAAACAGGGAGAGAGAGCTTTGGAATTCCCTACCTCAAAAAATGAAGCTTACCCAAGTTGCTTACTCTCGCAATTGATGTTCACCTAGGACCCCCTCTGAGGAGCTAACTCCCCATGTAGGAAATCTGCAGGGCAGCCTTACCAATGAAGGATGTGGTAAGAAACGAAATGCCAAAGCTTTTTAAACTGTGAGAGGAAGGTGTGAGCAGGCTGGTTTGTGGTATGTCACAGCCAGGAGATATAGCTTATTGCCATCAAGTAGGTCAAAAAAATTATCACAAAGTTCTAACTATACCTAAGAGGACCAAAAAAGCTGTTAAGCGTAGTAAATATGAAAACAGCCTCTGTCTCACAAAAAGTGCTGTTTTACACAATTGGTATTGTTGCCACTGAGAATTCATCATTTGTCTTGATTAAGATCAGTGGGAAAGTTTTAGAACCGAACTTCATTTATTTAAGCTTCGCGATTACAAATTTGGAGGAGTGAGCCAAATTTCACTTCCACTCTGAGTAAAAGAGTCTGTGAAGGAAAGGCTGCAAGTGGGTGAGATTTTAGGGGGAAGGTTTGAGGTGTGTGTGGCAAGTTGAAGCAGCCTCGAGCCCTGTCATTATGCTGTGTCCCTGGGGCCACTTGGAGGCAGGCAGAGCTTGTTGGTGGCTCTGAAAACTGCCGAATATATAGACAGTACCACTCTCTGTGTTTGTGAGGCAGAAAGGGCCTGGAAAGGATGTGTGAGTCTGTTTCCTAGCAACAGCCCCCATGGGGTGGGCACTAGAGGCAGTGGTGTCTTCTCTTGCTACTCTGACTAGTTGTTGATGAAGACCTGTTTTGGGGGAAGATGGGGAAGTGAGAGCTGGGTCTGCCTATCCTGCCATCTGACTCCAGGTTTGGTGCCTTCCCCTCCACACCTGTATTAGTTTGCCAGGGCTGCTGTAACAGCCCTGGCAAACTAATACAGGTGTGGAGGGGAAGGCACCAAAGTACTACAAACTGGGTGGTTTAA